CAGAGAGAGAGAGACAGAGAGAGAGAGAGAGACAGAGAGAGAGAGAGTTAAAATTTAAGTCGAAGAAGAAGAAGAAGAAGAAGAAGAAGAAGAAGAAGAAGAAGAAGAAGAAGAAGAAGAAGAAGAAGAAGAAGAAGAAGAAGAAGAAGGGGAGGGAGGGGAGGGGAGGGAAGGAAGGAAGGAAGGAAGGAAGAAAGAAAGAAAGAAAGAAAGAAAGAAAGAAAGAAAGAAAGAAAAAGAACAGATGCCAGTTTCTCAGCATAAGCATCCCTAAGGGCACTGTCTTCCCACAGAAAATCATTTCCAACACATAATCCCGTGCTCAGGCAGCAGGCTCAAAAATGTGACAAGAGCTTAAGCTCCGAGTAAGCAGTGGAAATACACTGCAGTTGTTTAGAGTACGGATTTTATCTGGTTGCTAAATCTGAACACTGGAAGACGTGGAGATTATGACAAATGAGAAAGATAGTTGGGGCTGAAGCGGCCGCTCGTCGGCACCCATTAGACACCCAGCAAGGTCAGCTGGAAACAGGCACTTGCCCTTACATGTGGCAACGGAGGCCCTTGCTCAGGTCCAGGGAGACTTGGAAGACTGAAATCCCAGCCTAGGGACACCAACCTGTAGTCCCAGCTGCTCAAACGAGGCAGGGTCAACAAAAGGGCGCGGAGGAGAAAGGTGCCTGCTGCTGAGCCTGACAACCTGGCTTCGAACCTCCAGACCCCAGACGGTAGAAGGACAGAAGAGACTCCAGCTACTTTCCCTCTGACTCCCACATATGTACCCCCTACACACGCAGAGTCTGGGGTGCATGGGCAACTTAATCTCAAAATAAAAAATTAAAAGGGGGCTGGGACTACAGTTCTGTGGTAGAGTATTTACCTAGCAAGCACAACGTCCTATGTGAAGTCAGTGGGATGGGGGAAGAGTCTGAGATTATATTTTACAGTATTTTAAGCTTTCAGCCTTCGGAAAGGTGTGACAGTACCCCTAAGGAAACAGATGCTCCACCGACCGTGGCGTGAGCTACACAGGTTGGCAGCTTCCCAAACAAAACAGCAACTACAGCTACTGGACGAGGCCCTGGCAATTTTGAAGCTAAGCGAAGCCTTGGAGCCGGTCCAGAAAAGGGCAGTGATGGAGCAAAAGTCGTCCGTGTGTGTGTGTGTGTGTGTGTGTGTGTGTGTGTGTGTGTGTTCTGTGGGGAAACTGGGCCACGCTGCCTGTCGAGGACAGCTCCTCTTCACCGCTGTCGTCGTGTAAGCAAACGCCCAAGAGGAAGAAGAAGAGTGACTCCCTGGCTGAGCTCCAATTGCACTCCGATACAAACAGACGAAATTGAGTTTAAACTTTCAAGAAATTTTAGGTAAAATCTTGGAAATCCAGGAATCAAACCCAGTAATGTGCTACCACGGGACTTGTTAGATGCTCTCTCTGCCCGTCGTCACCTGCCACTAAGCCTAATGGCCTCGGCTTGGTTCCTGAGACCCCCATGGTGGAAGGAGAAAACTAGCTTTAGAAGGTTGTCCTCTGACCCCTACACACATGCATACACACACATACATACGTGTATACATACATACACATACATACGTGTATACATACATACACAAAAAGAACACTAGGATCTCAAATGATCAAATGAGCTTTGGAAGGGAGGGAGGGAGGGAGGAAGGTGGGGGAGGGTTGGAAGAACGAACCAAATACAGCTTCCGGAATTTCTATTTCTTAAGAGGCTGTTCAAGGGAACACAGCTGTTTTCTTTAGCCCTTCATCCAGGCTTCCCACCTGAACTGACAGTCACTCTTTGGTGACAGTGGTCAAACAGAGTGGAAACCCAGTACGTGTCCCATGGTGCCTGAGAGTCTCACTGTGACCATTTCTCCTGGGTCACATACAAAGATGATCCTATGGAGTAACACAGACTGCTATTAGCAGCTATTACCACCTCACGTCATTAAATCATCAAATTAAGCCAGGCAGTGGTGGCGCACGCCTTTAATCCTAGCACTTGGGAAGGCAAAGGCAGGCGGATCTCTGTGAGTTCAAGGCTAGCCTGGTCTGCAGAAGGAGTGCCAGAACAGGCTCCAATGCTACACACAGAAACCCTGTCTCTAAAAAACAAGACAAAACAAAACAAGTCATCAGATTAATGGATTACGGATGGAGACCCTTTGTAAATATGAGACAAAATAACTCAGTGTTGATTTGGGAGGAGTTGGGAGTCTCCTAGAACTTGAGAAATGCCGGTGACAGAGAAGAAACCCAGGAGGGAAAGTCTGAATGGATTCCCACTATTAAGAGACTAAGGGGTTCACATGACAGAGCCCAGGACAGTCGGGGTGGAGTTTCTCCATGTGTTTTACATTCTTCCTCCTCCCCTCGTCTTCGCTCCTGCAGTTGGTTCTACACCAGCAACCAGGCTCTCACACACTGGTTGCAGGAAGCTCTGTTAAGAATAAGCCTCCAGCTCCTACCTCGAGCTGTACAGCGAGCGGTAGCATCGGAGCCGAGTGGAGCTGGTCAGGATGATCACGGACGTGCAGCTCGCCATCTTCGCCAACATGCTGGGCGTGTCGCTTTTCTTGCTTGTGGTTCTCTATCACTACGTGGCAGTCAACAGTCCCAAGAAGCAGGAATGAAAGTAG